CTACACTTTCGCCTTTATCTGACCACTCATGTAAACGGATAAGCACATTTGGCAATTCTTTTATTTAAAAAAAAAAAATCCATGTGTCCTAATGTTTGGTATGGGAAAAGTAGAATTTCTAATATCAGTGATCCAAAAGAAACACCTCTAGGAAATACTATGGCGCTCCAACTACTGGGTAAACAATAAAATGATAATACGTCAGCTCATGTTTCTATTGGCTCAGCAGGTGCTGCTGGTTACCCCCAGGAAGGAAACAGATGAAGAAGCAGGATGAGAGGCTCCACAATCTAATGTGGGTTTGAGTTCCCTGGAGCTGTGAGTTAGTGGCCCAACGATGATGAATGTAACTGTGTGTTCCCTTTTCCCTCTCCAGAATGCTGGGTCTTTGGAGTAACCTTGATTCAAATGAGTAAAAATCCAACAGAGAGGCAGAATGTTCTTTCTAAACAGAGTCAACTTCAGCAGCCACAAAATTCAATGGAGAACTCCACCAGGCTAATTTGCAAATTCTGAGTATTAACTTGCTCTCTCTCTCTCTCTCTCTCTCTCTCTCTCTCTCTCATGTTCCTTGGCTATCCTTTTATTTACAGCCATCTTGGATGGCTTCAGTGGCTTTGGAAAAGGTTTTTGTATTTAAGTTTGGAAACTTAGCAAGAATATGGTTGTTGATAAACTCCCAGTAATTTAAAAGGAGCATGTCCTGGGGTGGTATGCCATTTATTTTTATAATTCTCTCAGTGTTTACCATCTGTTCTTTGTAGAAATATGAAAATAAGCTGAGATCATGAGATATGGAAGTGGGTTATCAAAGGAACAATGAGATTTATGTTTTTGGAGAGTTTCCACGTACACAACAATTGGGTGGCCCAATTAGTTTTAGGCCTGGGAATATGATCTTCAAGATTTATTTAAATTCTGCAAATTATCACATTTGTTTCTCATTATATATATGTATACATACACACATGCATACATACATACATATATTTATATGTCAGGATACACACATACACATATATCCACATTTATGCATATCCAGGGAGCTCTTCATTTGAACTCCTTATGTTTTATTAAGGTTTTTATGTCTGCATTCCTGAGACTTCCACTGCCATATCCTTGCCTAGTTTGGGTATTGGGGTTATACTGGCCTCTTAATAAGAGCTCTGAGGGTTTTACCTCCTCTTGTATCTTGTGAGAGAGTTATAGTAAGATATTGTTATTTCTCTCTTAAACATCTTCTGGGATTCATCACTGTAATAATCTGGGGCTGATGTATGGGCATACATATCTGAACATGTGTTGGGGAAAGACCTGATTATTCAGGGTTTTGGGGTTTTTTTGTTTGTTTTGTTTTGTTTGTTTTTTTGATAGCTATAAATCTATATAGCTCCTCTCACTGGAGGTAAGTTTGGAAATTTTACATCTTTCAATACTAAGTCTGTGTTTTCTGAGATAGTCTTATTGGCTTTTTTTTTTTTTTAATACTGAGTGCCCATACAATCTGCTTTGATGATGCCCCCTTTTAGTTCCTGAAATTGGCAGATCATATTAGCCTCTCAGTCCTTCTTTTATCTTGTTAGAGTTGAATAATTTGATGGTAGTTTTCGGCTAATCAACTTAAGTCTGAAAGCACGTCCTCTGTAATTGTTTGTCACACACCGTATACGCCTTTACTTACCACTCTTTCCTTCTAGTCGGTCTAAAATGTGTTCTCCTACTCTGGGAGGAGGCATGTCAGTCAACACAAGATGTTCTCAGTTTTTAGGAATATCATTTGAACATATGCATATAGCTGTAAAGTGATTCTATATGCAGACCATATATTTTTATATAATCTATGTTTTCAATCATTACTTCAAAACATTAAACAATTCGCTTTTGTATTTTTTCTTTGATATTTGGCTTATCTATAAGCATACTTTTTTTAACCTTTGCACATTGTGTGTGTGTGTGTGTGTGTGTGTGTGTGTGTGTGTGTGTGCAGATTCTTGTCTTTCACCTTGTTGAGGCAGGTTCTATCTTGTGATTTGTACCATGGTACATAATTTAGGCTACCTGACTCCCAAACTTGCAGGAGATTGCCCTGGAGAGATGGATTGCTCTGCTTCCCATCTCCCAGCAAGAGTCCTGAATTACAGATGTGTGCCTCTGTGTCAGCTTTTCGTGGGGGTTGTAGGGCTTGAACTTAGGCCATTAGGCTTGCATGATTTCAGCTTTTACCTACTGAAATATCTCTACAGCCCTTACAAGGCTATGTTTAAATGAGCACGTATTTGAAAAAATTTAAAGATGTCTTCAGCTGTTGACTTCTAATGTCATATGCTTACAGAGGATGCATTTCTACTGTGATTTTTATATCTGTTTATCTATTGGGGCTGCTCTTACACTGGAGTTGATAGCATGTGCTAGTGAATACTCTACAAGCATTTGGAAACAATGTTTGTTCTATAGATGTTGGAAGGGCAGTGTTCCATAAGTGGAATGGACTTGGAGGAGCTTACCTATCTTTATTTTCTCCATTTCTGTCAATTACTACAAACAAACAAAACCAAAGCAAGTAAGCCAGGCGGTGGTGCATACCTTTAACCCCAGCACTCAAGGAGGCAGATTTCTACGAGTTTGAGGCCAGCCTGGTCTACAGAGTAAGATCTAGCACAGCCAGAGCTACCCAGAGAAACCTTGTCTTGGAAAAAATAAAAGAAAATAAAAATAAGAGTAAAACCCTACATTGAAGTTGTAAATTTGTTTCTCTTTGGGAAGTCTTTTTTTAAATCTTTTTATTGATTCTTTGTGAGTTTCACATTGTATATCCCAGTCCCGCTCATCTCCATTATCCCTTCATATCCACCCTTTGCCCTTGCAACCTCCCTCTAAAATAAAACACACACGCAAATGAATACACAACAACAGCAGCAAATCATAAAAGGTATCTCATCATGGAAACTGGTGTATTACTGTGTGTCCCACAGTACATCCTTCTGTCTACACATATTCACTTGCAAATCTTAATTACAATGAGCCATCGGTCTGGTTTGAGATCTCTGGCTTCTGTGACACCATCAATATTGGATCCTCACTGGGACTCCTCCAGTTATCCTATTGTTGTTCTATGTCATGGAGATCCTTCTGCTTTGGAACAGCAAGACTGGCTTTTTCATGCATCCCAACTGTTTGCAGATGATATAAATTTTGTGGTGGACCAATTTAGAGCCCTGGATCTGGGCCTGGGTGGTAGCTGAGCTGGTCAGCCTGCTGGCTCTCCTCTGTCCACACCAACAGGGCCAGCTCTCCAGCACTGCTAGGCAACCCAGTGCTACCACAGGCAGAAGACAGGCTCCAATCTCTTGTTCTCATGCTCTCGGGGCCAACTCAACCACACCCATACCTCCAGAGGCAGCTCCACTGTGCTACCCAATCAAGGTTTGGGGCCTACTCTCCCCTCTCCCTACTCTATGCTATAGCCTACAGAGAAGGACAGTGTTCCTGTTCTCATAACCTCGGGGCTGGCTCACCCATGCTTTCGCCATCGGGGCCAGCTCCACTGTATTGCCCAGGTGAGGCACAGGGCACGCTCTCCCAAGTACTACAGCCAGCGATGGGGCAAGGCTAGCTCTCCCACTCTCATGACTCCAGGGTTAGCTTTCCCAGCTACTGCAGGTAGTGAGGAAGAGAGGGGAGGAGAGCAACACCCCTGTATCCATACCACCTCACACCAGATGAGTGGCAGGGCCAGCTCTCCTGCACTTTCATTCTCAGAGCTGTCTCACCTGTGCCCCTCCCACCAGGGCCAGCTCTACTGTGCTGCTTAGATGAGGTGCAGGACACACTCTCCAAGCACTGAAACTGTTGATGGGTAGGGACAGCTCGCCTTCTCTCATGACCTTGAGGCCAGTTCTCCTGACTGCTGCAGGTGGTGGGAAGAGGGGAGGTCATCACCCTCGCACCCATGCCACCTCACAGCAGATGAGTGGTGGGGCCAGTCCTCCAAGCTTTCACCCTTGGGGCTGGCTCACCTGCACCCACCCCTAACCCCACCACCACAGTTCTGCTGTGTTGTCCAGGAGAAGTTTAGAGCCTGTTCTCTCAAGTGCTGCAGCTAGTAAGGGGCAGGACTAGCTATCCTAAGCTCCTGATCTTGTGGGTAGCTTTCCAGACTGCCAAAGGTATCAAGAGGCAGGGAAGGGGTGGCATTACCTCTATGGCATCACTGTGGCATTCCACAGCGGACAAGTGGGGCAGGGTCAGCTCTCCCACATTTACAATCTCAGGACTGACTCTCTCTCTCTCTCTCTCTCTCTCTCTCTCACACACACACACACACACACACACACACACACATACACACACTCCCCAAACCTACCTCCAGGACCAGTTCCACTGTACTGCCTGGCCAAAGCACAGAGCCTACTCTCCCAAGTGCTGCTTCAGATGAGAGATGGGATCAACTCTCCTGAGCAATATAGCCTGTGAAGGGCAGGGCTGGTGATGCTTAGTCTTTGGCAAGTCATATGGTCCCTGGCAGCTGTTCCCACCAGGGACATCCCCATGTTCCCTGGTGGTAATATGAGTCACAGACATTGATCCCTGCTGCTGCACAGATATAGACTCAGACGTGGCATTCAGTGGCAGCTCAGACCGGGACCTCACAATGGCTTCAGGTAGCAAGGCTGGTCACTCCTAACAGACTGCTCCTCTCCACTCTCACATCTCCAGTCCCATCTCCCTTCAAAATGTTCAAGCTGCTCCACTTCTTTCTCTCCTATCTGACCACCACATACTCAACACATGGTGGTGGCTTCCACTGAAGGCAGGCCACACGGCTGGCAGGTCCCTGGGTGACATCCTCCATCCATGCTTCATGGTATGGTGGCCAGCAAGCATCTGCAGCTCACCTGTGCCATGCACTGGAGGCCAGGTCAGTGGATGGCATGGCTGTCTGCAAGCCTCTGTCTTCTTCCTCCAGTGCTGTGCTGCCTGGATTTGATTTGACTTGATTTTTATGAGTCCTAGGCATAAGACAGCTTTGGCTATCAAGCCATACATCAGGCTAGGATGAACAAAGAACTGCCATCTGCTCTGTCCCTGACCCCCTGACTGATATAAGAACAACACCAACAAGAAGGTGTCTCTACCCACTGCCAGGGAAGTGGAAATTCTTTAAGGTGACACACACATTGATACAAATTTTTCTCCATGTCTGGCAATGATTCTATTCTTCTTATTATATTATTATTATTACTATTATTTTAAACTATGTGTATTATGTATCTCTGTGTGTGGCTATGTACCTGTGAGTACAGTGCCCATGAAGACCAGAAGAAGGCATTAGATCACCTTGGTGGTGTGTGTGTGTGCGTGTGCGTGTGTGTGTGTGTGTGCGCGTGTGCGTGTGTGTGTGTGTGTGTGTGTGTGTGTGTAGACTGTGGACATATGGGAATATATGCATGAGAGTGCAGTACCAATGAAGACTGGAAGAGTGTGTTGGATCCTCTTGAGTTGGAGTTACATGAGCAGTTGTGAGCTGTCTAATATGGTTGGTGGGAACTGAACTCAGGTACTCTGGAAGAGCAGCAAATACTCTTAACCACTGAGCCATCTTTCCAGACCTGGAAATGGTTCCTGTCTGAAGTTTACTCTGATATATATGCAGCCACCTGGCCTTTTCTGCGATGACTGTGATCCTGTGTAGCATAGAGTACCATTTTTGAGGATCACCCCTCCCATCCAGACAAGCTTACATGTATTTTATATTATATGTATGTGTATGTGGTAAATTTTTTGAAAATAACATATGATTGTCTTTGTCTTTTTGTTTTGTTTTGGGGATTTTTTTGAGGCAGGGTTTCTCTGTGTAGCCTTGGCTGTCCTGCACTCATTTTATAGACCAGGCTGGCCTCAAACTCACAGAGATCTGCTTGCCTCTGCTTCCCAGAGTTTGGCTTTGTCTTTTAATCCATTTTATGTCTTGGATTTTTAAGTAGAAGATTAATATAATTATATTTAATCTGATCAATCATAGTGGGGTAGTTTTTTGTAGTTTTTCTTTTTAATCAAGGGCTCATATCAGTGGCTTGTCTCAAATTTGTTATGTCACCGAGTATGACCTTGAACTTTTGAACTTTCTTGCCTCTACCACCTTAGTGTTAAGATTACAGGTGAGTTCCAAAAGAACCACACCGGATTTATGTTGTGCTCTGGATGGAACCCAGGGCTTCCAGCATGCCCAGAAAGAGCCCTAATGAATGGGCTATGTCCAAGCCTCATGGGGTTGTTAAAAATCTTTATTCTCTTGTTTCTCTTCTATTTGCTGTTTGTGTTTCTTTCTTTTGTTCTTTTTCCTGATTTATTTTAGATTGAGAAGCTTTAGGGTTGGTCCACTGTGTTCTCTGGTTTTATCATTGTATTTTAGTGGCTTCCACTGGGATTAGAATGGGCACCTTCAACGTTTAAGGGATGGAAAGGAACATGCTTCTGCCATGACTTCGAAAAGGGCTACAAGGAGCTGTACCTTAGTGGCTTTATGGTTTTTATTACTATTACATTTGAATTATGCATCCATAGAGTATTTATTTTGATATACAAATGAGGCTCCAAATCTACCAATTTCTACCCAGTTGTGCCCACTACTTCATTTTAGTGGTTGAAAGTAACAACTTTTTATGCATATTTGGATGAGTTTGAAGCTTCCGTTGGCTTGATCCGTCCATGTCGCTGCTTAACAAGTCCAATCCCTGTAAGACTTCAGTCTTTTGCGCCTCCAGAACCTTTCTTTACTCCCTTGACTATGTTCCGTAGACATTTTAGAGTCAAAAATAAGTCACAGTGGATGTGGGCAGGATTGGGTTAGAATTCCACATGAGTTCAGAGAGAACTAAGAAACCTTGTGAAATCTGGCCATGTGCTGCAGTCTGCCCCCACAGGCTGTGTCTCCCAACCTGATGTGCAGATTACTCTCCATGCTCATTTTATTATTTGCAATTATCATATTTTCTTTGCAAGTTCCCTAGATTGCGTGTTTTAAAAGGGATAGAGGGACAGCTCATTGGCTGAAGTACTTGTTCCAGAGGCACCTGCATCCAGATCCCCAGCACCCATGTAAACAGTGGGTTTGCTGGCATGTGCCTATACTCTGAGTGCTGGAAAGCTCAAGACAGGAACATCTTGGGGTCTTGTTAGTCAGCCAGCCTAACCAGTTGGTGAACTCTTGATGCAGTGAGCGGACCTGTAACAAAATATAAGATGGAGGGTCGGAGGGATAGCTTAGTGACGGAGGTGCTTACGTACAGGCCTGATGGAACGAGTCATGTTTGGATCCCACAAGGGGCAGGAGAGGACAGAATCCTGAGAGTTGCCCTCTGATCTCCACACATGGTATAAATTTGCAGTAGATAGATCCATCAGGGATCCCCTAAATTACCCAAGGCCTTCTTCCAAAGTCAGCCTTGATATGCCATGGTTTATTCTTTGCAGGGTTGACGACTAGCAGGTGGGGTGGGATAAAGGAGAATTTGTCTAATGGGTGTTTGTACACATAAAAACATGAAGTCAGCAGATGGAGAAGTTGAGATTTTTATGTGGTTGACTTTTTTATTTTTAAAAATCAATTTGAGATTTGTGATTTTTGGATTGTCACTTCTTGTTTTTTTTTGGTCACTTTGCTATTGAGGAATTTGTCTTCCTCCACCTGATTTATTAAGGGCTATTTACATATTGTGGTCCTACCCTTTTGTAGGTCATAATTTTACATGAAAAGTATTATCATCCATCTCCCACTATGTGTTTTATTTAGGTGGCTTTTCACCCTTGGTTGTTTGTCTTTCCTTGTCATTGTAAATGGGATCCAATTTTCAATTTTATTTTAGTAATGGCATTTTCTTGTATTGATTTACACACATGCATTTGGGGACTTGTATGTCTATTAAAATATCATGTTTCTTTTTAGAAGATATGCAGCTGCCTTTCCTGGGTTTCCTAGGTAACTAATCGTACTACCTATAAATAATTTTACTTTTCTTACATTTATTTCTCATAGTTCTTTTTTATTGCTTTATTATAGTGATTCAAAGATAAACCACAGGTTTACAAATGAATGCAAATAGCAGACATGTTTCTACCCCAGTCTCTGATGTGAGGATTCCCATTGCCTCAGTACTGACTGGAGAACTGACTGCTGACCTGCAGGTTTTCAGGTTGGACTTTTAGAAATAATCAGTATTGAACATTGAATTATATGAGCTGGATTTGGACACTGAGATTCAAACTCTTTCTCTCCCCTCTCCCTTTGGCTTATTGATGCAAACAATTGATATGTTGCTATAACTTGTCATTGATAGAGAAATGAGTGTGATTTTATCAGAGATTTATTACAGGTGGGGGGAAATACCTAACTCCATCAAGATATAATATATTTGGATTTGTCACACTTGGCCTAAAGGTAAAGGAGTTTTACGTGAGAAAGAAAGAGGGAGAGAGAGAGAGTGTGTGTGTGTGTGTCTGTCTGTCTCTTTGTCTCTCTCTCTCCAACTCCTCCCACACATACTCTTCCTTTCAAATTTGTGGCTTCTTTTTTTTTTTTTTTAATTGCCATTGACACAAACACACACAAATATAAAGACATCCTGCTGATTCATATGCATCTGTGTTTAGGGCCAACCGCTTAGAGCTGAGTAATCTAGCAGGGACTTGTCTTTGGGGGAAACTGATTCTCCCTCTTTCAATGGATATTAATTGCCCATAGCTTTTTATCTGGGGTGAGGTCTTGTAAGATTTCTCCCATCTATGTTGGCAGGTCAATTAGTATTGTCATTGCTGAAGTTTTTTTTAGGTGATCATACTTTTGAGATTTCTTGGGTACAGCTTCCCTCTCAAATATATAAAGACATAATCTTGCAGGCAATTTCCTGGGCCTCTGGCACTTAGTCTTTCTATCCCCTTTTGGTGATGTTCCATGAGCTTTATGTGTGTGGCATGTGCTGTGGACACGTCACCTAGGACTGAGTTCCCTGCAATTGCTTATTCTCTACCTTTGATCTTTTGTGGCTTTCTATTGTTAACTCCACCTGCTAGTCCTTCAATGAGGAGTGAGAACTAGAATTCCTTGTGGGTATAAGTTTGCGTTTTCAGTGCAACTCAAAATTACACTATTTTTAACCCATCTGTGTCTATCTTTCTTGATAATACTCAAAGCATTCTGGGTCCATTTCAAATATTTTGGTGTGAAAATTATAATTTTCATTTTTAATAATTTACTTCTTTTTTAAATTTTTAAAATTTATTACAATTTATTCACTTTCTATCCCAGCTGTAGCCCCCTCCATCATCCCCTCCCAGTCCTGCCCTCCCTCCATCATCTCCTCCCATGCCCCTCCTCCAGTCCACAGATAGGGGAGGTCCTCCTCCCCTCCCATCTGACCCTAACCTATCAGGTCTCATCAGGACTATCTGCATAGTCTTTGATCAATTTCATTTTTTAAGATAAAGTTTCACTACTCAGTCCTGGTAGGCCTCAACCTCACAGAGATCTGTCTTCCCCTGCCTCCCAAGTGCCAGAACTAACGTTGTGTGCCACCACACACCACACACACCCCTGATATACAAACTTTTAAAACAGAACTTTCAAAAGTCTTCGGTCTTTCATATTTTTTCTTTCGCTGTGAGGAATTGTATTTAAAGGTCGACATAGGAGCTCTTATTACACAAATTGTCTGTAAATCACTCTAAACCCTGTGACCAATGAAATAAGTATGTGAAAAACGTCCATCTGCCTTTTGTGACACTTCCCTAAACTGACATGAACATTGATTTAGAATTTTATTGATTGAAATTTGAGAATTTGTCATAAACTTAGCAGTGTTTTCACAAAAATCTTGCTCTGGCCAAACCTGTAACACTGTCTAGGAGATTTCTATTTTCATCTATATTTTTCCCTTTTGGAGTCTGGTCTTACAGAACTCTAGTTTTGAGTATCCAATTTGAAAAACCAACCAAAGGGGGATGAAGAGGGAGGTAGAAGGCAGAATATGCTCATATGCTCATAGCTTATGAAAAAGTTTGCATGGAACACAGTATCATGTGCAATGAGCATTCTTTAAATTAATAACTCAAACTTCAGGTTGGGCAATGGTGATGCATGCCTTTGATCCCAGCA